CCATAATGGTGAGAGAAAAAATCTGTCTGTTGTAGGTACACACTGCATAGTTCATCGTGGAATCCTTAGTATCCAGAACTTTACCTGCTGAAATGAGGGATGTCCTGAACGTGGTTGTCAAGGTAGTCAACTTTATCAAAATCCGGAGCCTTAAACAGTCGCTCTTCAAACTGCTGTGTAAGGATATGGGAATCTGAACATGAAACCTGCTTTTTCACACGAATGTAACATGGCTATCAAATGGGAACATGCTTTGGACGGCTTTATGAACTACTTAGAAGAAGTAGCAATATTTCTTGATTTGAAGCAGAAGGCAGATTCCATGACAAGTTCCAGTCTGAAGGCTTAGCTATCTCTAGCTTACCTGGTGGACATCTTCTAAGCGTTGAATGGAACTTAAACTACAAGGGAAAACATCAACATCACCATGCACCACTTCATTAAATATTTAACCTTCATGGCCAAACTCGACTTGAAGTGTCGAATTCAGCAGGAAATACAGCCAGTTTTAGTAACTTGATTCTGCTCTCATTCACGGTAACCTTGATTCTGGAGTTAAAGAAACAAATAATCACTCATCTAACTGGACTTGAAAACAGAATTCATCAGATACTTCCCAGAGTTAGATGAGAAGCGTGAAGCCTGGAAATTCATCAGAACCCATTTCAATGTGAAGTAGCTACGTTTCGATGGCGCAAGAGGAGTTTCTTGAGTTGAAGTTCTACCCACAGCCAAGGCGAAGACTTCAAAGAGCTGGATCTTGAGACGTTCTGGGTCAAGTACCTTCCTGTTTACCCTCTGATCTCACATCAGCTCTTCAGATTTAACTATGTTCGATCCACGATCTTGTGAAGCTGCATTTTCCACTTCGTTGCTGTCAAGACCAAGTACAGAAACAGGCTGAACGCTGAAGGGGATTTCTCATGCTGTGCACCCTCTGGGCATTCAACCACGCATTCAAGATCTATAGTAGCTAAGAAGCAGTGTCAAGTATCTCAATTAATTTATACTCAATAAAAAGACTAAAAACACAATATTTTTCATTTTTCTTTAAAATCTGGGAGGGAATTTTATTCATAGATGCAAGGGGCGGAGGGAAGGACCACCCTAGAGGGGCGTAGTAAAAAGGTTAAGAACCACTGATCTATACTATATTGATGTATGTCTTGGACTGGGTAGAAACAAGGCATTTGTAAAAAAGCCATTGACTGCTGATTACAATAACACTGAAATATACATTAAATGGAAGTCCTTCTGAACATCATAACTGTAACTGATATCTCAAAACAGACATGCCACCATTACGTCATTGTACTAACAGAGTTTCATTCATAATGAGTTACACAATATGCCTACTCATGTTGCTCACAAAATGTCTGATTTATGAAGAGTGACTAAGCAAATACTACTTGATATTAGAGTGAACAGGCTACAGTAATTTACAATACATCAGTCTACATGGGATCTGCCATTTTACTGATATGTAAATTGCATTGGTTTCCCACTGAAATAAGGTTTCAAATCAAGAGACTTGCAGGCAACAGAATCCCCCATCCACCTATAGTGAGACGTTTGTGGTTGAAAGTTTTAGTGTGGCACCAGTTGTTTCATGGTGTCTAACCCATCGTGATACTATGGGTTCGCTCTGCTATCTGGGCATTATGAATTCCCTCGTTGTTTAGGGTAATGATAGCACCTCTCACATCTTGCAATATCTCCCCAATAATTCCTCCTTCCATTTGATGTAAGATCCCGTTGATGACTGGCATGGCACTGTTATCCATTTACGATATCCACTCCGAGTCATGTAATATATGATCTGAAGCCTTGAAGTATCGATTGTTGTAAAACATATATACTCATTCATGCTCAAAGGTAGCAGATGTAGAACTACCAACCGTTCAGAACCAGGTCGAGTAACATAAGAACATAAGAATGGAGGAAACTGCAGCGGGCCTATTGGCCCATACTGGGCAGTCCCGTTCACACCCAACCCCTATTGCTCATATGAGCATCCAACCAATGTTTGAAGCAATTCAGCGTATTCAAGTTAATGATGATATTTGGTAACTTGTTCCATTCATCCACTACTCTGTTTCCAAACCAGTGTTTACTTATTTCACGCTTAAATCTAAATTTGTCTAATTTAAAACCATTGTTACGAGTTCGGTCGTTCCTGGTTGGATAATTTGAGTACCTTTGTAATGTCCCCTTTGTTTAGCCCTGCCTTCCACTTATACACCTCTATCAGGTCGCCCCTCGCTCTACGTCTCTCAAGGGAGTGCAAATTAAGATGCTTTAACCTGTCTCTATACTCAAGGTTCCTCATGCCCGGGATTAGTCTTGTCATTCTCCTCTGAATTCTTTCCAAGGATTCATATCCATTCTGTAATACGGTGACCAGAACTGAACTGTGTAATCCAGGTGTGGTCTCACAAGAGCAAGATACAGTTTTAGGATGACCGCTAGTCTTGTAACCACACTTTTGTATGAACTCAAGTACTTTATTAGCCTTGTTTACGCAGCAAAAACCACATTGTTTACTTCATTAAGGCTCCTACTTCTATCATTACTCCTAAATCTCTCAAAAGTAGTCGGATTTCTACATCGCTAGTTCATTATCTGGTATCTGGTTTCTGTTTACATCTCCTATACTGAGTACTTTACATTTGTCGACGTTGAATTTCATCTGCCATTTTTCAGACCATTCGAAAAATTTGTTTAGATCTTCCTGTAGTTTTGCCGAGTCCTCGTCAGATTTGATAACACATCCTATTTTAGTGTCATCAGCAAATTTACTTATGTTGCTGTCTATGCCGATATCTATGTCGTTTATGTATATAATAAACAATAATGGTCCAAGTACTGAGCCTTGGGGAACTCCACTTGTGACGTTGCTCCAATGGGACTTAGTGCCGTTAATGCTCACTCGCTGTTTCCTGTCCTGTAACCACGCCCTAATCCATTTAAGGATGTCACCTTTGATGCCATGAGCTTCTACCTTTCTAATTAGTCTTTCGTGGGGGACTCTGTCGAAGGCTTTACTAAAGTCGAGATATACCACATCATAATTGTGCCCCTCGTCCACCGATTCGAAAACTGATGAAAAGAATGTTAATAGATTAGTTAGGCAAGAACGTCCGCTTGTGAAGCCATGCTGGGAATCATTGATCAATCGGTGCTTCTCCAGGTGATTTCGAATAGAGTTTGAAATGATTGCTTCCAGTAATTTGCCTACTATTGATGTTAGACTGATTGGGCGGTAGTTAGAGAATAGTGATCTATCCCCCTTCTTGAAAATCGGTATTACATTCGCTATCCTCCAGGATTCTGGTACTACACCTGTTTTTAAGGACATGTTAAACAACTTTGCTAAGGGCATAGTAAGCTCTTCCTTACATTCCTTTAATACTCTGACAAATATCTCATCGGGACCAGGTGACTTATTAGGCTTTAATTTGTCTATTTGCTTACTAACATCGTTACTAGTCACTACTATCTCACTTAATTTGTTTTCTTCACTATCTCTGAATAGAGTCGGTGCCTCGGGTATCATGTTTAAATTTTCGGTGGTGAAAACTGTTGAAAAATATTTATTCAAATTATTGCTCATTTCTCCATCGTTATCAGTGAGCTCGCCGGAGTCTGACCGTATTGGTCCAATCTTTTCTCGTGTTTTAGTTTGATACATTTGGTAGAATCCTTTGGGGTTTGTCTTCGCCTCCCTTGCTATCCTTACCTCATTATTCCTCTTTGCTTTCCTTATCTCGGTTTTAACCCTACTTGCCAATACCCTATGATAGTCCCGGAGGTGAATTTCGCCACGATTTATCCTTCTACCTATAGCCTTCCTTTGGCCAATGATGTTCTTTAAATAATTATTTATCCATTTAGGGTCATTGTTGTCTGATCTGAGTTTTTTGTATGGTATGTTCTGCCTTTGTGCATTAAGTAACTCACTATTTAAATTGTCGTGGAACTCGGAAAGCCTCGAATCACATCGACCCCATAGCTAACGATACTGTACATAAAGAAATTTGGTACAGTATATACAGTATGTATATACAGTGGTCCCTCGGTTAACGAGCACAATTCGTTCCAGCAGGTTGCTCGTTAACCGAAAAACTCGTTAATCGAAACCATTGTTTCAATGGGTTTTTGGGTAATTGGTTCCAGCTCACCGAAAATTGCCTAAATTCAACAAAAAAGGTAGAAAAGTACACTTACTTTGAAGTGTGTATGTAGAAGGCTCCTGGATGATGATGATGGGAATTAGATTGGGGGTGGAGGAGAAGGAAGAAGAGAAGGCATTGGGGTGGAAGAGAAGTCACCCCGTGGCACCATTTCACCCATAAAATTTTAGTTCTCTTGGTGTATTTCAAGATTATTTTCTTTAAATCAACACTGCACTGCATTATATATTGTCAATATGTAAAATATATTTAAAAATGACCAATAATTCACTTGGAAACACAGAAAAAAAGCGTTTAGTTGAAGAGAGTCTCAAGCAAGATGTTACCTCCACTGAAAACAGAGAGAGACTAACTCCTGTCTGGTGTGTTAACAGGCTGGATGGCACGCCGGAAACTAGTTTCTTTACCTTCAATTATGTTCAATAATTGTTAAAATGACTAAAAAAGTTAATATTAACTTTTAAAATTATTGAATAGTATAAACTTCTTGATATTTACTAAAATAGTAAGGAATTTAAGCCCTAAAACCGATTACTGTATTGGCGGACTAATACTACAGCTGGTGGACCGCCAAATGCAAGCGAAAACATGTTGAAGTCGGCTCGTAAAAAACTCGTTAATCGAGGGATTGCTCGTTAACCGAAGTTAAGAATCTTATGGAAGGTAAATCGTTAACCGAAATCTCGTTAACCGAGGGACCACTGTATATATGAGAAAAATGTTAAATGTGTTAATTACAGATCAAATTTTACCTGAATTGTTTCTTATATCTTAATATGAAATAATACTGTTTTGTATTGTGGACAGAGGAATTCAGCAGCTGTGTCGCCCCACCAAACATTGCACACGGCTTCATGTATGATGGGGCATCATCTTATCCTCTACAATCACAGGTAAAATTGTTTGGCTTGTCTTCAGTTGATAGTCATTAAAAAGTTATAAAATCAATGTAGTCTGGACTCCAGTATTTTTTGGCATGTTTTTGGTTCAATTTATCTTCATTATACAATATTGTTTATTTGTTTTTCATGAATTAGTAGAGATATGTTACTGTAATATTCTGTGGCTATTAATACTGCACCCTTCACATTAAACCATCAGGAACGTATCTTCACATTTGCAATGGTATAATCACAGTTCATTAAAAAATAATGTAATTTTATAAAATGTATTACCTTATTTTTATTAAAATATATACTGTACTATATTGTCTTTAATGAGGATACTGTACAGTGGTCTAATCAGATTTGATTTAGGCCTAAAGAGAGCTAATAGGTACGAGATGATACTTGATGGGAAGGGTGGGACTGGCCATTGCCATGATCACAAGTTTTTTTCTGTTTACTCATTGTTATAGTACAGTATTCTTGTATAATCAGCCTACAGTAGACCCTTGCCATTCGTGATTTCGACGATTTGCGGTAAGCAGCTGGTGGCTAGCTTTGGAGCCTTTTCCCGCAGCGTAACGAGTCACCCTACATGCCCCCAGCGTCTCCTCTCCCTCTGTTCGCGCTCAACCATTGCCTGTGATGCAGCATCCCGTGTTTTACTCTCAAAACTTAAGTGTTTCTGTGTGAAATGGCCCATAAAGGACTGCCTAGTGTCAGTGCTAGTGATGCTAATGGAGTGTAATGTAAAAGGCAGAAGTCAGTGGTGACCCTGACAAAGAAAGTTGAATTATTAGATAAGTTAAAAGAGGGGATGAGTGCTGCTGTGGCTGGTCAGTTGTTTGGTACAGTCAGGTAGTATATAAGTTGATATTCGCGGTTTTGCCTATTTGCACCATTCCTTGGAACCTATCCCCTATGAATAACAAGGGTTTACTGTACTTGTATTATGATTTATGTTTCAGCATAAATAATATAACATACAGTATTAATTATAGGAAAAATATTGTATATAATATGATTTCAAATAAATTGACAATCGGAATCAGAAAGTAATCTTTTCTCTGTCAGTGGTGTGTGTGTGTGTGTGTGGGGACTATTTCTTGCTGCATTCATGTTTGTTTTTATTCATTCATTATATTCTCATATGATCAGCCTCTTATGGTGTATGTTTCATCATTAATAATAAAAATTTTAAATACAGTGATCCCTCGGTTAACAAATTACCTTCCATAAGAATCTTCAATTCGGTTAACGAAAAAGTTAGATTAATGAAATCCTTACGAAAATCACATTTTGTTTTGAACATCAGTTGATAAGCTGAGGAGGTACTCAGCCAATTCAGTGATCTCTTCTATGTTTGCATTCAAATTAATCACTATCTTATAAGAATTCCAGCAATGCAAATTATATTCACCCCGGTCACTTCTATTAAATTTTAAAAGCAAAAAACAAAAACTCAATCTAAAGGACATAAATTAACAATTAAATACTTCACACCACAGGCACCAACTGTCAAACATGTCACTGTCACCCCTCCCTACCCCCCCACCTTCCCAAGAAATGTTTGGGGAAAAGCTTACCGTATATCTCGGCCTATAAGACGGAATTTGAACCATAAAAAATTCAGCCCAAAGTTAGGGGGTCGTCTTAAGCACCAGATATAAAATTCTTACCTCTTAAATATTGCGGTTGTCAAGAGTGGTGATGGAAACATGGCAAACCACTCACAAGGTCCTACCACTAATTATTTTATACTGAAACTTACGTTTGGGAAGCTGGATTAAAATCAAGATTACCGGTATATTAAAATAATAAAAATGTATTATAAACCTGTCTAACATACTGTAAAAGAACAATATACCCTGGTAATAAACACAGCTGCTATCATCACCCCCACCCCCATTTGCCAGTGACAAGAAAGGGAAAGTGACCTTGACTGTGACCGCCTGTGGCTATTTTTAGCCGTCCTTGTGTTCGGAGGTGGTCAGTAATGCATATCTGTATATTTACTGATCATAATACTTATCTCCTATAAATAATTCATTTAAAATTTATTTTTTTACAAAGAATATTCAGTAAATGACTGCGTTAATTCTTGAAACTACCGACAGTGGTAAATTTAGGATATAAATGATGAACAGAAGTCACGTCATGGATTCGGAGTTTGGTCCTTAATGATCACCATAAATGTCTGGTCAGCTTCACCTACCAGGTATAATGGTAGCCTCCCTTTTTTGCAAAACAAGTACAGTATACTGTATAATTAAAGAAAATACTTGCAGTGTGTTTAATATATTACAGTATATTATAAATAAATAAATAAACAAATAAATCGGCAAATCTATTTCAAGTAAATGGAAATATTTTACTCACACCGACACTTAAGTGAGTCACTAGTGTACACCAGCTAGTAAAATTTGATGCCAATACTCTAAGTGAATTGGCCTTATTTTAAATAATCAACCATAAATAAATGCAAAAAGGAAAAAAGACCAAAGGTGAGAAAAATTATATTGTATGTATTTTGTGTTGTCAAAGGAAGAGAAACAATTGAAACTCTGCAATTGTGTGTAAATGAGGCAGAAAGATAGATCAGCAACCTAAGACTTGGTCACAATTTTCGTGATGCCATATGGAAGTAGGATCTAACATTAGACAATACTATACATTATTCTTCCAATATCTTCCCAGGCAGTAGTATATCCCTGTTTGGTAGCTGCCTACTACCTATACACAAATTTTAGTAATATTACTTTGATACAACATGATAAATTAGACAAACAATGAAAATAAACAAACAAAAGTTATTTACCAAGACCTTCTCTCTGAGAACAGAGGGGAGATAAGACGGCTATTTATAGCCCGTCTTTGTGGAGGAAGTTGACCACACTATAAATAATTCATTTAAAATTTATATTTTTTACATAGAATATTCAGTACATGACTGCGATTATAAAATATTGTGAATATATATATATATATATATATATATATATATATATATATATATATATATATATATATATATATATATATATATATATATATATATATATATATATATATATATATATATATATATATATATATATATATATATATATATATATATATATATATATATATATATATATATATATATATATATATATATATATATATATATACATACAGTTGTACCCCACTTAACGCGGTCAATTGAACCCAGAGGGTCCCGCGTTAAGTGAATCCGCGTTAAGTGAACAACAGAACATATGGGATTAATTCCAATAGAAACCCGCCTGACCCCCAAACTCCACTTTTTGAAGGCACATACCTATGTTGTAGTAAAAATAACATCTTAATTTTATGATGGTACATGCACACAATTAATACTTAAGAGAAATAGAGAAATACAGTCGCCAAGTTAATGTCCATTCAAATAATGGACTCAACTCCCTCCCCCTCTCACACTACACTGCCGGCTCTTCCCTCTCAGAGAAATTTTTGGGGGAAAACCACTAAATTTTAATAAATAATACCTCAAACTAAAGTTAGGATAATACAATTGACATTGCTGGATTCCTTGTAAGACCAGGAATATTTTGAATATAAATGTCATATATTTTGCACAAAAGATAACATAGTTACCTAGAGAAAAAATTTTATCTAAAATTTGTATGTTTAATGCAAAATATATGATGTTTATATTCAAAATGATCACCAAATTATAAGAATTCCAGCAATGTAAATTATATTCTGACCGGGTAATTTGTATGAATTTTATGAGCTAAAACAAATATCTTCAGTTAATAAAAAAAAAATAATCTTCACGACACTATCTGTCAATCAAAGTACCCCACCTTGCCTCCCCCCCTCTTCCAACCGCGCGGTCAGTCCCAACCCTCCCCCCCACCCCCCACCAATCCTCCCTTCAAAGAGGTGTAAATTTTAACATTTAGTATTAAATAATACCTCAGATTAAAGTTAGGATAATATAATTGACATTGCTGGATTCCTTGTAAGACCAGGAATATTTTGAATATAAATGTCATATATTTTGCACAAAAGATAACATATTTACTCAGAGTAAACATTATACAGTATCTAAAATTTGTATGTCTAATGCAAAATTTATGATATTTATATTCAAAATGATCATCAAATTGTAAGAATTCCAGCAATGTAAATTATATTCTGGCCCGGTAATTTGTATGAATTTTATGAGCTAAAACAAATATGTTCAGTTAATAAAAAAAAAAATATTCTTCACACCGTGCCAGATGGTTGGTCGGTCCCTCCCTCCCCCCACCTCCCACCAACCCTCCCTACCAGATGTGTGGGAAAACCAGAATATTTACCTTTTTAGTAATAAATAATACCTCAAACTAAAGTTAGGATAATATAATTGACATTGCTGGATTCCTTGTAAGACCAGGAATATTTTGAATACAAATGTCATATATTTTGCACAAAATATAACATATTTACTCAGAGTAAACATTATATCTAAAATTTGTATGTCTAATGCAAAATCTATGATGTTTTATTCAAAATGATCATCAAATTGTAAGAATTCCAGCAATGTAAATTATATTCTGGCCGGGTAATTTGTATGAATTTTATGAGCTAAAACAGGCAGGCAGGCAGGCGGTGGCGGGTGGGGCGAATCTAAAAATAGCGTCTCGAGCCGGGACACTCTGCATGTATACGTGGAAAAAACCCGTGTTAAGTGAAAGTTCGGCTCTGGCGAGGCACCGCGTCTACGTGAAATCGCGCTAAGCGAAAGCGCGTTAAGCGGGGTATTACTGTGTGTGTGTGTGTGTGTATATATATATATATATATATATATATATATATATATATATATATATATATATATATATATATATATATATATATATATATATATATATATATATATATATATATATATATATATTAATTTTATGTTGGTATGCACACACAATTAATATTTAAAAGAAATACAGTCGTTGGTTAATGTCCATTCAAATAATGGACTC